GAGAGAGAGAGAGAGAGAGAGAGAGAGAGAGAGAGAGAGAGAGAGACTGGGCCATCCGTCAGCATGCAGATGAAGAGTCAATCACCCTCAGGTTTGGAGGTGGTTAATGAAGAAGAAAAGGAACAGCTAGGTCCAGTGCCCAATGGGTGGCTGCGCAGAAGGCAGAGAAGGGGAGAGCAGTGGAAAGCCATGGGCTGATCCTGGGGAAGGAAGAGCCACTGCTGCTAACGAGGCCCCACCCTAGCTCTGGGGATAATAGGCAGTGGGCGGAGATGAATAGGTGTGGCAAAAAACTATCTATCTTGTTTGTATGTATGGAATACATGCATACATTGTATCTGTTATGAATATAAGTCACTTAACAGGTATTTGGGTTGGAAATATATAAGCCAGGATAGACATTTTAATACTGTATCTTTAAGAAAATGCAAAAAAGTATAATTGGGTGTGATTTCTCAAACGGCCATAAGATGGAGCCAGAAACCTGGTTTGTCTTAGTCTTAGTCTCAGAAGAGAGTGTGAGTAAGTCTCTGTTTCCTTCTGTTGGAGGGTATTGCCGTTCCATTTTTCCTAATTCCATTTTCCTAATTCCTAAATCCTACCTGGATTTGATATAAGTCTGATACTGAACTGTTTTTGACACTGGAATTTGTTATTGGATTATCCCTGGATTGAAAAACTGACTGATTTAACCTGTGAATGACTTTGGACTGCTTGTTTTGAACTTTGCTTGAAAGTTTCTGGAAGTAAAAACCTACATTTACTGTACAGTGTACTACTCTCAAATACGTCTCCATGTATGCGCTCATTCTCCTAACCGGGAATTACCTCAACAGTATCTATGGGAACTATTCTTACCTAAATTTTGGTTAAACCTCTGTGGTGACAGCACTCACCTTTCGTAGGCACTCCAATCCAATTTAAGTAGCGTGTCAATTTTTTTGATATGTAAGTTTTTCCTCTTGCTGGAAGGCCAACCATTACAATCAGAGTAGGACAGTTTGTCATGCATACTATTAAAAAAATGGTACAGTTAGTGTTCATGAAAAACAAGAGCATTAGTCATAGTTCTGAAGACTAAATTAGGAAATAGCTGCATCTTTTTGTGAGAATAATAGCACTCAAGGGAGAGCCTTGTCTTTTTGATGAAGTATTCAAAAGAGTGTACTGTTTTTATTAGAAGTTCCCCCAAAGCCACTAGTTCCACAAATACTTGCAATAAATTTTACATAGTTATTCTAAAATCAACTTTAGAAGCCCATTCACACGTCTCATCTATTCGTGAAGTACTGCATCCCCTTGAATTATTTTTTTTAACAGAATCCAAGAAACTCCCTGAAGATAGATTCCAGCATGAATCTGAAATCTCGGAAGACAAAACCTCTGGTCCCAGTGACCAAGCCAGATTGGATCCTGCAACATTATGTTGGGACACGTATATTCACCATCATTTTTTTTAATTACTCAAGCCAGCTGTGGTATATAATCTGCTTCCTACCTACCACTATTTATCTCCACCAATTACTCTTATGCATTGAACCTGGAAAAAATCTTTGGAAGACAATGCCTAATTTTTTTTCAAAATATAGACCAGTAATGAGCAACAGTCATGTTGTAATTCAGTCCTGGCTATGACAAGATATGCCATATATCCAAGCAATTGTTAAAATGGTCAAAAATACTCAAGTTGTTGTGCAAGGCCAGAAAAATCTCACAAAGCATCAGTCATGTTATTTACAATTTTAAAATTGTTTTAAAAAAAATAGAACTCAGTAACTGTCATCTCATGAAACAATTACAGGCATCAATGTAACAAAAGAAAACTATGCTAGTGCAGAGACAATAGAGCGGAGGTAATGATAGAAGTGAACGTGAGTTTGAGTGAACTGGTTGAGAGTGGAGGACAGGGAGGCCTGGCATGCTATGGGCCATGCTGTCACAAAAAGTCAGACATGACTTCGCGACTGAACAACAACCAAAATTACTAAAACTCACTCAAGGGTTGCTTAAGATAGGTATATAAATATATAAATCTTTTCAATAAATAAAAATTAATATGCTTATATAATAAATATTCTACATTTGTTACCATAGTAAATACTACTCTTGCTTTGTAAAGAGGGTAATATTACCCCTATAGTCAGCTATTCCCCAAAAACTTATGTAAAAATTTAAGAACACTGCAAATCAGACAGTGCTGCCTATTTGCTGACGTTCATAACAAGAGGAAAAAGTAATTGGAAAACATTACTTTTATTAGTCCAAACTTTAGAATCTCTGGGTTTTTTAAGGAATCTGGGGGCATGTTACAACCAGGAATTATCTGGTTTGTACAAGTTAGCTTGTACTTCATTGGTGAATTCAGTTTCTTTAATTTTCACCATTTCTAGGATGGCTTATGGACAGGGGAAATGAAAGGGGTAGAATGGAAAAATAAAAAAATTATTTTTCTATCATGATTCACCAATAATGTATTAATGACACTGGGATAGAAGGAACTGTTTTGTTTTTTCTAATGCATATCTGAAACAGATACAGCTCCTCCATTAGAGCACTAGACTGAGATGGTTTATCTTTAATGAAGCTATGATACTTATATTGCATTTTTCAGAAAAACATTCAAATATATAAACACTATAAAAATAAGTAGTAATAGTTCTATAGAATATGGACCAGCAACTTATGACCATGAGGCTACATTTAGCCCCTGATCTAATCAACAATTTAGACTCTATCAAAATATGTTCCCTGGCAAACAACTACCTGGAACAAGTAAAAAAAAAGTTATCAAAAAAAGATGGAGAAGATAAATACATCCTCAAAAGGTAACCTACGTGTTTTTGGCTTAGATCCCCCTACTATTATGATGCCTCCAAAGAGTATCCAAAAGACAAAAATTAAGTTTCTATTTAATCTAAAACAAGAAAAATATGTATTGCAAACACTAAAACATACCAGAATACCACACAATTCTTTACATTTATATAAACTCATCTTACATAACAATTCAGAACTTTTTTTCCCCCTTCCCGCACACGCAAACTAATACTGATCAATATTTTATCAAACTCTTTACAAATGAAGCTAACTTTACTATGAAAATTTTATGTAGTGGGATTCCCTTCTTTCTCCTTTCTCTTCAGATCCCCTTCAAAATGATGCACTAAAAACCTCTGAAGCAGATTTTGAGAAAATCAGTTCTTCCTCCTGATTCCAATGGCCGGTCTACCAGCAGAAGGAATTAATCCTTTCCACTTATAATGGAATATAAAATTACCAAGCACATTTTGTGCCATTCTTTCTTTCAATGGTGTCAACTTAGAACTAAAAATCCGTGTGGCCATCAGGTATTAGCAAAAAGATTTATCATATTTCTGGTATTTAGTAACTGTATTTTTTAATTTTTGCATCACCATGTGGTAGCCATATTTAACCACTTAGTTAAGAAAGGATCTACTGCAAATCATTAGGCAACAAATGTTTTTGAGTAATTTCCCAGCAGCGATAAAATCATGCATTTAGAAAAACCAAAACTAATAAGAACAATTGCAAGGAAGGCACTGATAAATGCACTAATTTTGAGATGCAGATAACAGATACACATAAGGAGATGATAGAAAAAATAAGCTAAATGTTGCAAAACAAAACAGATTATAAAACAATTCCAAGACAAAATAACAAACTGTCAACTGCATCAAAGAATTGTGATTGTAAACTTTCTCGGCTACCAAAAGTGAATTAATGCATGTGCGAATCACTTACTTTTTGAAACCTACTTATGCCTTTACTTATTTATAAATAATGGCTACAAGCCAATTCTAGTTATATATGTGCATGAGCAAACCTTAACTTTAATTAGGGTTCACTGCATAAAACACAATAGTTAATTGTTTAAATAACTTTTTGAAGCTGTAAAGATCTATTATACCTAATATTTAATATTTAAGCTCTTACAGCTCTTTTGCAGTTCAGCTACTGAAGATTTATATTTGAAGTCTGCAAGACTCCATTGTCCAAAACTTGCAAACAGAAGTTTAATATTTTCTGTACTTGATGGAAGCGAACATTGCAATATTTTATGTTTGCTGCTTATGAAGTTTTTTCTTATAAGTAAATAAAAACACACATATGATCCCACTTATATACTAGCATAACTGGGAATTCCTTGTTCAAATGATTAACTAAAAATGGCACCTGTTGCAAGCTAATATTCATTTTAAAAATATACTTCCATTTGTAGACATCACAATGCAGTAACAATAACTTAAGGGTATGCAATCCATTGCTTTGAATCATAGTTCTCATTTTTGACTGCCAACCAGAACCAAGTGTTTCTAAGTTGTTGATATTAAGACAGAATATGGACAATCCGTAATTAGAAACAATTATGCAAAAATGAAATTCTGAGAACCTCTGCCAACTGGGCTGAAGCAGGAGAGAGACCCTCCCTAAGAAACCCTCGGGAAGGGCCTTCCAGGTGGCATCATAGATGCGCCTTGTAGAAGGTTTGTGAGATGCCAGGATAGTGATGATGACCCTTTCAGGAAGATCAGCCACCTCTAGCTGCTGCCACCCAAGTGCCACATGGTCAGCTTGAGCCACAGGGGCTCCAGGTGGAGCAGAATCCCCTGATGAAGGGAGGTTAGATGGGCTGGGATCCTCCAAGGAGAAGCCCCCAATAGGTTGACCAGGTACACAAACCAGGGCGTCCTTGGCCAATAGGGTGTCAGGAGGAGGAGCTCCGCTCGTTCCTCCAACATCTTCCGAATTACTGCCGGAATGATGGGAAGCGGGGGAAAGGCATAGAGGAGATTTTTGGGCCATCTGCCCCAAACAGCATTGGTCCCCTTAGCTCCCTGGCAAGGAAACCTGGTGAAGAATCTGGTAACCTGGGCGATTTGAGGAGTGGAGAAGAGATCCACCTCTGGCGTTCCGAATCTGAGGGAAAGGTCCCTGAATAGAGACGGGGGAATGGACCATTCTGCCTGGTCAACTAGGCTCCTGCTGAGCCAGTCGGGCTGGGAGTTGTCGATCCCGGAGATGTGGTCCAAGATTGACAACAGGTGTTTCTCTGCCCATAACACCAACCGTAGCGCCTCTCCCATGAGGGCTCTGGACCTCGTCCCCGCTTGCCGGTTGACATGAGGTATGGCAGCCACGTTGTCCATAAGGACTAGCACATGAGAGCTGGTCACTGAGTGCCTGAAATGCTTGAGAGCTAGAAAAATGGCTCTGAGCTTTAGCCAATTTATGGGAAGGGCCAGCTCTGACCTGGACCAAGGTCCTGAGCTATCTGGCCCTGCATATGGGTACCCCAATCCAGGAGGCTGGCATCGGTGGTTATCACTAGCCTGTCTGGGACCCTGAAAGGGAGTTCCTTCCAGAATAATGGGGAATGCCACCAATTGAGAGATCTCCGGATTTGTGGCGGGAGCGGGACCTTGATGGATGACAGGCTGGTTCCTGCTCGTTGGTAGGGAAGCAGGAACCATTGGAGTGGATGGGAGTGGAAAAATCCGTGGCTCTGGAGATATGACAGGGTAATTTGCAGACCCCGATGGGCTGCATGGATGAAGGTGGACAGCATTGGATCCTTACTGGAACAGAAAGCAGAGATGCCATCTATGCTGCCAGAACCTTCGTGAAGACCCTTGAAGCCGATGAGAGGCCGAAGGGAAGTGCTCGATACTGGTAATGGGTATTCTGATAACAAAAACGGAAAAACTGGCGATAATGAGGCCAAATGGGGATGTGGAGGTAAGCCTCCATGAGATCAATGGAAGAGAGGAGATCGCCCTCCTGAACGCTCTCTAAAATAGAATGCAGAGTCTGCATTTTAATTTGTTTGTATTTTACAAATTGGTTGAGAATTTTTAGATCCAGGATGGTTCGCCACCCCCCGAGGCTTTGGGAACGATGAAAAGGCGAGAGTAAAGCCCACGTCCCCGTTGAGAGGGGGGAACAGGTTGAATAGCTCGGGTTTCAAGAAGGCCTGTTTCATGAGGTCTTGCCT